ATAGTTCAAGCCTCATCTCACATCAGCGAATCCACACAGGGGAGACGCCCTACACATGCTCTGAGTGTGGGAAAAGCTTCAGCGGGCGCTCACACCTTATCAGACATCAGAGAATCCACACAGGAGAGATGCCCTACACATGCTCTGAATGTGGGAAAAGCTTCATTGATAGTTCAAGCCTCATCTCACATCAGCGAATCCACACAGGGGAGACGCCCTACACATGCTCTGAGTGTGGGAAAAGCTTCAGCGGGCGCTCACACCTTATCAGACATCAGAGAATCCACACAGGAGAGATGCCCTACACATGCTCTGAATGTGGGAAAAGCTTCATTGATAGTTCAAGCCTCATCTCACATCAGCGAATCCACACAGGGGAGACGCCCTACACATGCTCTGAGTGTGGGAAAAGCTTCAGCGGGCGCTCACACCTTATCAGACATCAGAGAATCCACACAGGAGAGATGCCCTACACATGCTCTGAGTGCGGGAAAAGCTTCAATCGGAGCTCTAACCTTATCACGCATCAGAGAATCCACACAGGAGAGAGACCCTATACATGCCCTGAGTGCGGGAAAAGTTTAAATAGGAGCTCAAACCTTATTACGCATCAGAGAATCCACACAGGAGAGAGACCCTACACATGCTCTGAGTGCGGGAAAAGCTTCAATCGGAGCTCAAACCTTATCATGCATCAGAGAATCCACACAGGAGAGAGACCCTACACATGTGCCGAGTGCGGGAAAAGCTTCAATCGGAGCTCAAACCTTATTACGCATCAGAGAATCCACACCGGAGAGTAGCCCTACATGTGCTCTGAGTGCGGGAAAAGCTTTAGTCAGCACTCACAACTTATCTCACATTGTAGAATCCACACGAGACACCCTTTACATGCTCTGAGTGCGGGAAGAGCTTTAGTTATCGCTTGCAGGAAAAGCTTCAGTTGGAGCTCATGCCTTATCAGACATCAGAGAATCCACAAAGGGGAGATGCCAAATACATCAGGCCTGCACATCTCGTAAAGCGGCGAGGGCCGTATTACTCCAAAGAAAACAGCTGAGGGCTGAAATCCCCTAGCCCCGCCAACCCCCCCCCCCAAGTGCTGCCCAGCCCCGCGGAAACAAACCCTCCTTTCCCAGTGCCACCCCGCCGAAACAGCTGTGGGCTGACAAGGAAGGTTGCGGGGGGGGAAATGATACTTTATTAAGAATTTTTCAATTAAAGCAAACAATTTTTTAAAATTATTTTAATGAAAATACTGAAAATGAAAGCCCCCCTCCAGCCACCGACTCATCTCCTCATGCCCCCAAGTATAAAGCTCCCCCCCACCACTGCCCGCCCACTTGGCTCATCATCCCCCCATGCCCCCGGCTCGCCTACTCACCCCCCGCCGTCCGCTCGCCTCCTCAGCCCCCTCTCCCCCACCGCCAGCTCACCTGCCCCCCTGCCACTGGCCTCTTCACCACCTGGCCAGGCAGCCGTTGGCTTGCTTCACTCCACTGCTTGCCCACTCACCCCCCGCAGGCCACCCAGGGAGCCCGTGCAGGCCACATGCAGCCCAGAGCCCATATATTGTGCAGGCCTGCTATACATGCTCTGAATGCGGGAAAAGCTTCAGGTGGAGCTCACGCCTTATCAGACATCAGAGAATCCACACAGGAGAGATGCTCTGAGTGTGGGAAAAGCTTTAATCGGAGCTCAAACCTTATCGCACATAGGACAATCCACACAGGAGAGAAACCCTACACATGCTTTGAGTGCAGGAAAAGCTTCAGTAATAGCTCAAGCCTTATTAGACATCAGAACATTCACATGAGAGAGAACTGTAATAAATCCCTTGACTAGGGCTGGCCAAAAAAATTTAAAAAAAAAAATCACATTTGCTAATTCCCACATAGTGATTTTTGCACCATCTTCACCGTCGCCTCTCAGCTCCACCAGATGAGTTGCCTGCTTCTGCCTTTGCAGCTCACCCTTCTTTGGGGTCAGTCCTGTGATCTTTTCTATCAACTCCTTTCCTTTTGAGTTGTAGGAGTGTGTCCCTCAGCCAGGAAAGTTCATCGGCTCCAGGGGGGAGAGAGGTTTGATCCCAACAAGCTACACTGATTGAAAAAACCACCTGTGCCTTACGTCCACTAGGACTGTACATGGCGTTGGCTGCTCAAGTTAGTGATCTTGGTGTAAAAAGACAATTATAGTTGTAGTACAGATGCAGCCCAGTGGCTGGCATTAACTTTCCCCTTGACCTGACCTAAACTCCATCACTTTTCCTAGTCTAAACAAACCCTGAGCATCACAGTTATACTGTTCCCCCATTTCAAAGCAATTGTTAGTCATCAAGTTCCCTCTTGGGGAACAAATTGTTTCATTCCCAGCTGCTCTGATGCTGCTTCAAGTTGCTTTGGAGAGCAGATATTTTTACTACCATTTTCCTCACTTAAAATATATTGAACTATAATAAAGAGCAGGAACAGGGCAGGGATAGGAAAAATTGTCATTTCACCCTCTGTAACAACAGAAGATAGGGTAAGTCAGAGGGATTCCCTTATTCTCCATCACCATCCCAATCCCCCTGTTGTTCAATTGGTTAGGTCAATATTTTTTCTAAAGGGCTGGGAAGAGGATTCCCTAGTAAATGACTTGTAACTATGCAAAATACCCATGCATTGGGCTCCCAAAGCAGTTGTGGGCCATGCCCTGCCCTGCAGGAGGTCGCTCCTGAAGATATCTCCTTCCTGATCAGGTGCATGTTGCCTTTTATTTGGAAAATGCAATCCCTATCTAGGTAGAGATGGGAAAAATGGAAATGACATTTCTGTTCAGGTCACTCCTGGGAGATGCTACAAATGTGTAGAAAATGAAACTGGTGTTGAATGTGATATAGCTCCAGAAAGATACCTATTTTTAATAGATACCTGACATTTGGTGTTTTACAGGGATTCTAAGCCACTCCTGAATTTAGTCCCTAATTTAAAGTTGTGCCATTAGAGTAAAGAAATAAAAGGGCATAGTTGGGGGAGTTATACCTTACTATCGCTACTGATATGTTGTGTGGTTGGTGAAGAATTCTATGCCAGAGAAGTGTAAAATTACTCCAAGGAAGGTCAAAGATTTGACAAGAACTCAGGTAGAAATTGCAGGAAGTGGTGGTTGATTTTCATCCCAGAGATGGAAGCATTGGTGACCTGTGGCCCAGGTAAACTATTTTTAGAACACTGCTCCCTTGTTAAGTGGCATTGATCACACTCCTAAAGGATGCCATGATTAAATTGGGCACAACAGTCTTTTACCATTTGGATCCAAAGTTTCATGAATCAGAGAGCGAATCATAGAAGATTGGGGTTGGAAGACACCTCAGGAGTCATCTAGTCCAACCCCCTGCTCAAAGCAGGACCAACACCTCACCTTTCCTGTCTCCAGTTGCGCAAGAGCGAGTCTTTTCCCTCCTGCTGGGTGACTCACGCCCACTGGAGCCAGATCTTTGGTCGGGATGGTGTGACGGGGTGGTCGCAGTGGGTTAAGCCTCTAGAACTTGCCACCCTGGCTACTGATTCCGGAGGACCTGCGGTTTGACCTGATGTTTGGGATTCTCGCTGCTTCACCTGATGCCCACAAGTTTGGCCCTTGTGCTTGCTGCCACACTTTTCCTCTTGCCCATGTGGTGCTTGAAGAAAGGAGTGCCAGGGCCAGGCTTTATAGGGATAGGCAGGAGGGAGAAAGAATCCCAGGCTGGAGCCCAGCACACCTTTCCTCCTCTGGGCACCTAGAGCAGAGGCGGCTTGTGCTGACAGCTCCAAGGGAAGGCTTAAAAGCCTCAGAGTAACCAAGGGCAAGGAGGACCATGGCTATGCATGGCCAGCTGACAGCCACAAAGGCACCTGGCCAGCCTGCTCCCTGGCATGCCAAACACCCACTGAAGGCCACCCGCAGATCAGCATGCAGGGTGGCTGCTGATGCTCTGTGGCCAACATCAGAAGGTGGTAGGAAAGCAGGGCCAGCCCCCTGGTGAGGTCTCTTACTGTTCCAACTCAAGGTGCTCACATTTGCAGTGGGGCAGGAGAGTTTTCCCCAAGAGGCTTTTCCACAGCTGGTGAGAAGCAGAGAAACACCCAGGCTCCATTTAGCAAGCCCCCTCAAGCACAGGGACAGGTGCACGTTTGGAAGAGGAAACTGCTCTACACTGTAGCCCGGGAATCCACACATTTTCTTTGGTAAGTCAGGAATGGTAAAGGCTAGACTGGAAGACCTGGGGCTCGCGCCCTTGTCATGCCCAACCCCCAACTCCTTCCCAGGGCTCTGGCTGAAGCCAGAGGATTGGCCTGAGCAGCCAAGAAGAGAACAGGACTTTCAGTACAAAGGGAAAACTGCACAAGCACAACCACGAAGGGACTCAAATCCTCAATCACCTGACCTGAAGTCAGGCATCTTCTCCATTAGGCCACACAAGAAAAGTCTCTCCACACACTTCTTTGGAAAGGCAGACACTGTGTTTCTTGGGTCATCTACTGAGGGGGCAGAGACACTCTGGGCACAAGAAGCAGAGTTCCTAGCTAGATGTGAGACTTAATTCTATGGAGCCAGGTACAGGACTTTGGCAGGGAGGCTTAAGTATGGGAGATTGGGTGCAGCAGATGGGCCGGCTGTCTAGTTGTGGAGATTTAGTTGCACTGAGGCCCAGGACGGAGGAGGAGGAATCCTGCTGATGGGCAGTGGCTGTGGAGAAAAAGGTGACTCACGTCCCAGGAACAAAGGGGTTCCTGGGACTCACCTGCCTGCTTGCTCTTGTGGTGGAAGGGGGCAGGTGCTCTCAGGAAGCCTGTTTTGTTAGTTCCCTCTGGGGCACCTGGCATTGGCCACTGTCAGAGGACAGGATACTGGGCTAGATGGACCTTTGGTCTGACCCACTCTGGCCATTCTTATGGGGTTTGCCAAGGTCACCTATGGATCTTCTCTTTGTGTCTCTGAATGCTCTACAGGGCTGCATAAGCTGCAGTAAGTTTCTGGTCTTGGGTTTGATCTTGAGAAACAGGATTGTAGGCAAGGCAGGGAGTCAAAGGGCATTATGCCTGACAGCCAGCAGAAGTGCAGGTCGTGGGCAATGAGCCCAGGACAACTGGTAAATGCAGTGCATGAATGAGCCCGAACTAGAAGGTTTCTTGTTGGCCTCTTTGACGTTATGAGTGTAATATAATATTTCATTGGAAGGTGACAGGGCCAGAAAGAGTTAATTAACTCACTGACTGACCTGACCTATGGGTGAACTTCAGTGACTGATCAGGAAGATAGGTAAATGAATAGAGCTTCGAAATGCAAGTCTGCATTGTTAGAGATCTCAAGGGTAGATGTTTGCTCAGGTCTTGTTATGTAAGCAAATAAGTCTTGTCTATCGCTATAGCTTTGATTCGAAGATAAAAAAAGGAATATTAACATTTGTGATGATACTTGAGTGAAATAGTATTATTGTCTATATGTCTCTTCAAAGGTTGTGGTAACCTGTATCTGAACTGTTTAATGGATAAATTACCCTGTGCTAATTGCCAGGATGTTTGGAAGAAGGAGAGTTAGGCCTATTGTTTTCTTAGGCAGAAAGGCTGCTGGAAATGTATAAGAACCCTGGGACCTGATCCTACTTCATCTCAGATCTGCTTTGTGTTTCAAGAGGGGGAAATCTTAAGCCACAGGGATTGAGATCTCCAGTCATTGACTGGAGCCACCCTGAATATGGACATTGGACTATAATTAAAAGGACTTTTGTCAACTACAAGCTCACCTCTGCTATGTATCTGAACCTCAAGAATTGAATTCAAGTCTGTATGTATATTGATCTTTTAACCAACACTCTCTTTTTCTTTTCTTTTTTAATGAATTTCAGCTTAGTTAATAAGAATTGGCTATTAGTGTGTATTTTGGGTAAGATCTAAGTTATAATTGAACCTGGGTATGTGGCTGATCCTTTGGGATTGGAAGAACCTCTTCTTTTATATGATGAGATAAGATTTTCAGTAATCATCATCATATGTTTGACAGGTGTGTCTGGATGGAGGCCTGAGGCTGGTTACTTTAAGGGAACTGCGTTGTTTGGACTTCTAAGTAACCAGTGAGGTACTATAGAAGCTGTTTTGTGCTGGCTTGGTAAATCTAAGTATTGGAATAGCCACCAGCTTTTGGGGTTTGTCTGCCCCATTTTGTTTGCAGTTCACCCTGATTGAGTGACCTCAGTTGGCTCCCACGGGCAGCACCGTCACAGTGGTGTAGTCATGCTAGGATCCAGAGAACCAGGTCAATTAAGGTTTGGCTCAGAACCCCACGCTATCCAAATTTGAATTTTGGTACTGAGAGTTTGGTTGGTTAAAGAGCAGTTGCAATGGATGAGCAAAGAGCATATGAGGGTCTTGACAAAAAAGCCCTGAAAGATTTGTGTTCAGAAAAGGGGATAAGCTTTAGAAAGAAAGCTACAAATCAAGAACTGAGAGAGCTGTTAATGGCCAGTGATCAGGAGGCAGGAGCACAGCCCTTACCTGATACTACAGTAACTGCAGAAGCAATTAGAATGCAAAAGGCAGCAAGTAAACTGCAAGCCCTGAAAGACAGCCTGCAGTTTGAACATGAGTAAAAACCGGCAGAAATTCGAATGAGAGAGAAGCAAGCCTTGGCCCAGCTGGAGAAGGAGACTGCTGAGGAGAGGATTCACCAGATGCAACAGGAGATGGCCAGACTTCAGCTCCAAGTCCAAAAAAAAAAAAAAAAAAGACAAGGGAAGAACAGCAGAAATTGTACCCTTTTGAAAATCCAGTTTATAACTATGTTGATATGTGGTATTACTCTGGGCAGTTTTCTGTGTTTAACCAGTTTTGCTATGGCC